ACTTTGGAGCGTTACATCAATTGTATTGCAATTTATTGTACAAATGGCTGAGCTACGCGAAACTATTTTATCATGGTCTCGCTAAGTATGATCTGCCAGAACTTTCAGCGGTCAGTTTGTACTAGTTTGATTTGTAGCTTCATCTGTAGCTGTGTGTACCGCCTCATTAACTGTTGATTTAACTAGAGACAACTAATGCTAGTATTCATTTCTAATTTGTACATATTTTGTAATACTTACACTGTAAAACATGGCTTTCGTATTCTTTTCACTGTCCATCCTGAGGTAGCCTGACAGAAATCGCCATTAGCGACACGGTCACCCATTGTGTATTGTTTTTTTTTGTAGTTTTGTTGGCACCCGCAGTTTGTATTGTAAAACAATCACGGAATACCTGTGCATGTGGTATTTTTAGTAACATTTTGAGTACGGCTGTAACTGCATGGATTAACATTTTGTTGTGTGCTTGACGCTTTAACTAATTTAGTTTAAATGCGTCAATACTAGCTGTGACAGTGTCTATCACTGATTTCAGATTCCAAAGGCGCTACAACAAAACTGAAAGTCATTGTTGTGCATCAGTGCGTACTGTATGCATATATGATTTTCAGGACACACGTAGTTGCATGCTCATTATGTACTTCACCTTTTTTGCTTCAACATTGCAAGCATTTCGAAGAAAGTGTGATGTTTGAGTTATTTATTAGTTTTAGATTTTATCTGCTGATCATGCGCTAGCTTTAACTAAGTAGAAAGATTCTTAAGTCATCGCTACAGATGACTTAAGACACATCCATTCATCTTGATATTCATAATCTAATCTGACTTGTAATATTTGAACGACTACAGTTACAAAGCACTTTATTGCTGAGCTAGAATGCCTACTGAAACTAAAAGAAATAAATACTTGATGAAAGTATTCCGTAGCCTGAGTCACGGTACAGTCACACCTCCGACGATTACTGTTAATAAACAATGAAGCTTAAGTGAAGCAATGCCAGCCTCGCCTGTAATCGATTCACAGCCAGATGGTCACTACAATAGTACACTTAACACTAAGCTGAACTACACCTAAGTCCATTGCCTTTTTTAAACGGTTTTATTTAGCTCACCCCGTTTCTTTCTTGGGTCAAATTTAGTAATTCAAATTTCACCCTCTTCCTGTCAACCGATTTATCTGAAATTTTGTATACACTTTCGGTTTTGGTGACAATACAATTATGTGTAATCATAACAATTATAAATCCAAAATGGCGGCCGATACAAAATGGCGGATAACGTAGGTTTTATCAATCATATCAATATGGGTATCAAATGAAAGGGATCAACGAGCAGAATACAATATAGCTACTATAAACAAATTAAATCCAAGATGGCGGCCGCTACAAAATGGCGGATAACGTAGGTTTTATCAATCCCATCAATATGGGTATCAAATGAAAGTGCTCAACCAGTAGAATACAATGTACTTTAAAAAATTAAAATCCAAGATGGCGGCCGCTACAAAATGGCGAGTAACGTGGGTTTTATCAGTCCCATCAATATGGGTATCAAATGAAAGGGCTCAATGAGCAGAATACAATATAGCTACTATAAACAATTAAAATCCAAGATGGCGGCCGCTACAAAATGGTGGGTAACGTTAGTTTTATCAATCCCATCAATATGAGTATCAAATGAAAGGGCTCAACGAGCAGAATACAATATAGCTACTATAAACAATTAAAATCCAAGATGGCGGCCGCTACAAAATGGCGGATAATGTAGGTTTTACCAATCCAAAAAAAGGTATCTGATTAATCCAGCCTGAATCCACCACCCACGTCTCAAGACTTTGTATCGTGTCGAGGACTGTGTGGCGTTAGGGTTGCTAAAAATGATACGTCGTTATCGGTATACCACCCAAGTTAAAAGTTAAAACGCACTGAGAACTGTATGGCATTAGGGTGGATAAAAATGATATGTCGTTACTGTTTTCCCCTCAAGACTCAGGCGCATCTTGTTTTACATAGCCTTGCCCCTTTATTGGACTTCTGGGGTCGACAATTTCAATATCCATTACTCATGGCAACAAAGTGGTAAAAAAAATGAAAAAAATACAAACACAAATCTTAGTAACGTCCATTCTCTGTAAGACAATGGAATGTGTATTGAACATGAAGCTGACCGACAATACGGATTTCGCCGGAATCGGTCAACAGGTGATCTTCTAGCGTATGCCATCCACATCTGGAGCGAGGCCTTCGAGAAACACGGGGAAGCGCTTGCCGTCTCCCTTGACATCTCGAAGGCTTTCGATAGGATATGACACGAAAGCCTTCCTTCATTCGGTTACCTACTGGATTGTGTGTTTGGATCGCAGACTTTCTGAGGGATCGGTCCATCCGTGTGGTCATCGATGGTTGTTCGTCGAGTCAAATGACCATCAATGCTGGGGTCCCTCAGGGGTAAGTGCTCTCGGCAACATTGTTTTTGTTGCACATACACGACCTGCTTAAGCCCGGTCTCTTTGGGTATGCAGACGACAGCACTGTTGCTGAGAGCTACACATCCGGCGCACGAGCTAGTGGGTCACAGATCCAGTCTCTTCGAGAGGCTATGGTTGGGCACTTGAACTTGTCCTTGGAGGCTGTCTCTGAATGGGGCGATGCCAACATGGTCAGGTTCAATGCAGCTAAAACTCAAGCGTGTCTATTTTCCGCTAAAAGGAGTCAGTCAGTCTAGGTAAGCGCGCTCCATCGTCGACCGCATCGTCGCTTTCCATCAGGTGTGCGGTCAAGCGCAAACCTATAATCAATAAAAAAAAAACAAATAAAACAGAAACTGCAACACAACGTAAACAAAGGCTTCAAAAAGCGAAAGAAAAGTATAAAGCAAAACGAGCTAAAGAAAGTGAAAGTGATATAAATAGTCAATTACAGAAACGACGGGAACAATCAGGTGGCTCTTAGTGGAGTAAGATCTTTGCAGGGACTACGTATAGAGGAGTTGGACTGCAATACATTAACGGGCAAGAAACCTTACAATAATGAAGTATGAAATGAATTAAACAGAATGCGAAATAAAAAACTAAAAACTAGAAAATAAAAATAGGTAAAAAAACTTTTTAAGTTAAACGGTTTTATGTTTGCATTGCAATGTTTAAGATAAATGTACTAAACACCAACAAATAATAAAATAGATACAGTCGTGGGAATTATAAACATATGCATAGACTAGACTAAAATAAAACCGTGGGGCACGTCAATTGTCTACAAATTATCGACTTAATGTGCGATAGAAGAATCGTTTAATTCGTCGTTAGGCAGTTGCCCTGCAGACGGTGAGGAAATTACTTACTATTTTCTTGCTCATGGAAATTCCAATAGTTATACACTCCATGTAAATATAATAAACGTACTACTCGCTCACGACTATGAAACCCTAAAACTCGTTTCCACATATCTAGCGCTACTTATAACAAGTCCATCATTGACAGTTGTACAACTGCCTAATTATCTATTGTACATTACAAAACAAACATTTTAATAACGATTGTACACAATTGACGTGCCCCACGGTTTTATTTTAGTCTAGTCTATGCATATGTTTATAATTCCCACGACTGTATCTATTTTATTATTTGTTGGTGTTTAGTACATTTATCTTAAACATTGCAATGCAAACATAAAACCGTTTAACTTAAAAAGTTTTTTTACCTATTTTTATCTAATACAAGTGTGGGACTTAAAAGCTAAGGTATACAGAAATGGAACTAGTACAAATGTGTTTCCCCAACTATTCTCACAGCACAGTATAGCTTGCGTGCTTCGTCGCCCGATTTATAATTCAAATGCAATCCTTTCGATCGTTGTAACTGTTAGGAAGAACTGTTGAACACGAAACTCTTTGTATTTTCCTCGCCATTTGCTTGAATGTTTTTCCCATGCTCGACTTACTTATTTATTTCTCTCACTACTAATTGCCCTAGAATACAAAATGTTATAACTTTTATCTGAACCGCGGCAGATTGGAACAGCACGCACCAAATAATCTGTTCCCATTTTCTTATACGAACCAATTTTCTTCCAAGAAAAAACAGAAATAAATTGCGATTTTGTACAGTTTCTGCGTGGCTAGCAACAAATGACTAGGCTTTAAATAAGCCCTAGGCGTTTTGCGTTTCCAATACACCACTCATTTCACATTATACCACAGTCTGTGTCGCACAGATAGCGAAGCGGCGCTTCTTAGCCAATGGCGTGAAAATATGATTGATTCACTTTCAGATCCTGGGCAACCCTCATACATCATACTGGTACTCACGTCAAAATCGCTTAGATATTTTGGTAGCTAAACACACTTGACTAAGCTTTAAGTGGCTTGCTACAGAAGAGATAGTTCGGGTAAGCAAACACGTGGTCTTTAATATGGAGACAATTCAAGCATTTCTTGTTGCTACTTATTTTTGACAATGAGGTCTTTGGAGATGGTCTTACCTACTACTTATTGATTTAAGTTCTTTAGAATACAATTTTGTCCCACGTGCAAATTGTGTTCTTTTGTATTAGTATTTAGTGCGTATTGTCTAACAATTTTTGCTACTTAAAACATGGTGATGTTTTAGTTGTGTACAAATGTTGTTCCTTTTATTTATTGTGTGGATAAAAATTACTTCGCTTCTAAGGTTTAAACAGTTGCGGTTGTCGCCATGGTGTCTTCAATAACTTTGGTTTAACAGATCCTGATTAGGATGCTATTTATAGCTCGTTTGAGACAAGTTAATCGTAGGTTAGAAACAAATAATCCATATATACTATATCTTTCATAGGCTGATCTTTGGTATTAGTACCTAAGCTCCGGATTAAAATAAGACCCTTTTCCGATAAACGTAGGTAGAAATTAAAACGGCACGTGTCTACATGAGAAGCAGTTTCTCCATTCGTCTTCGTCCATACGTAAGCGCGCGTGGGTAGAGAAAAATGGTATGAAAAAGATACGCCACTGAAAATAAAATGAAAATGGTATGTACTACTGCTTAAAATTCAGACATGTAAATAATATGACTGCTAAACTATCGATATTATTCAGACCGGCTCGAAAACATATTTCGTAATGCAATTTCCATAATCTTATGGTAATTCGCGATTTGTCTCGCCAGTCGCCATGAACTCGGTCCCCACGTGTAACGATGTTGCTGTGAACGATGTAAATCATGGCTCCGTTCCTGTCCGGGTCTGCCATGTGCAATGTGCTCATGACGCCATTCGTAGACTGTTGAATGATGCTCATAAAATTCCCAAAAATGACTTAAGTGAAGCAGTTTTTTGGTCGTTCTTTAGAAACTTAATCTCTCTATCTGATGATGACGATCGTCAATTACGCCTTTACCTTACACAGCATCAACTAAATTCACGTTTTAGGTGAAGAAATAACTACGAAATGCCTTTTATGTAGAGGAATTACTAACTTTGATGATTTGATGTTAGGTGATTTGAAGTGTTATGGCAAAATATCTAACTTGGTATGATTACTGTTGCATAAGCAGCGGTGACAGGTTACGCGTCTGCAATCATCAGAGTATTCAGTTGAAACTTGCATAACTAGGGAAATAAGACAACTCTTACGGACTTATGACTTCCTAGTACTATGCAAAAATGTCTCACCTACTTGCTCAGCTACTGCTCTTACCAATTTTCTACTATGTTATTGAAAAGTGCGTAAAATAGTTAATTAGTTTTTCTAACGCAACCCTCATTTGCATAGGTCGGTCGTTTACGTCCAGTGGTCATTTCATCACAGTTTCCATTATACGTTCATTCACTGTGGCTCAGCTACGCATTAAAACTTGTACGTGAGATGTTTTATACGTAGGTGTTTAAGTCTAGACTAATGAATTACATTAGTATCACGCTTTCCCCTAAAGATTAAAAGCTTTTGTTAGAAAATACCGCCCAAGCGTGTAACTAAAGAAAGTTTTATATTGAATTGCCCCCAAACTAGTATGAATTAAAAGCAATCGCATATTTATTAAAAATCAGCCACCGACACAGTCATATTAATCGGTATTTTCTTTAAAAAAATAATCTTTATGATATTTCAATTAAATGGAAAATTTTTCAAATAAAATTGGACAGATGAGAGAAGCTGAATTATTAACCTCATTTAAACTGTAATGGCGGATTGAAAAGCGCGGTAATTTGACAAATGTCACTGTCATGTCGCCATGTTTGGATGTGATGTGTATAATCTATGGACGGTACAAATTGTTTTTAACGCTCCGATTAACAGTGACTTTTTTCATCTCAAGCTAAATAAAGTAAAAGTTTGTAATTAATTTCTAGCCCAGAGGAATCCTCGGTACGCTTTTATAAATAATGAAGCATGTTGTACATTATATTGTCGACTTTGTTTCTAACTTTTAATTGGTGCGCGGGACTCATTAAATTGATACCAGACTTATTTATATGATTGTAGTATCAATTTTCTTTGTTTTTCATTGTTTTATTTATTATAACCAATTCTGCATTAAAACGTTCTCTTCTTTCCTCTTATTTCTTCACCAATCGTGAGTGGACTTCCAGTGTCACGATCATGTGAAACAATTTATATTACTGCGTGTATGCTCTTACCTTAAGAATCAATAACAGCACCTATAGACTAATGTAAAACTAAACACGTTATTTTACCAATTCTAATACTATTCCGACTAGGTATTATGTTTTTGTGTGTATTATGATATGCATACAACAACAATTTGAAATGGACTGTCCTTCACGGGTCGTTTACATCAATGCTGAGTAAAAAATTACACGTGTGTGCATGATCGTCACGTTGACATATTTGATTATAACTAAACACACATATGTATTCAGTTTGCTATCAAAAGTATAAAAAAAGGCTAGAAACTTCAGTCTCGTAGACGCAAAATAACATTTTATTTAGGAATGTAATTTTGGCGACACTGCTGTTTGTGAATGTAGAGTCCACTCTTTAATTAAAACTCTAACGTCAATAATTTGACATATGAAGTGACAGCTGTCAATCGTTATTGACATTAATTGATAAAAATAGCAGAAGCTGTGCAAGTTAGGTTCTAATTTAAATTTTAATTAGTATTTTAACCGAAGATGATTTTTCTTTTATAAATACAAGAAAAACCTTTTGTAAAATTAAATACTCTTACATTGTAGTCGTATGATGCAGTTGGCGCGTGATAATCGTAATTGTATCCGCCTCTCATTTATTAAAACGTGACTCGGCTTGCGTGCGCAAGAGTCGCTTAACTACTACATTGATTGACGTTGAATTGGTGAATGCGTCCCAACATTTACTGAAACATTCCTATTTAAGGATCCTCCTCCTCCTCTTTGCCTCGTATTCCTTGCTGAAGGCCCAGTCTTGAGCAGTTCTGCGTCACTTGGTCATGCACGATAGGTCTTTAATATTTAAATAAGCAAAATAATTATATATTTTGGTAACCAAGTATTACAGGTAGGTAAGTACTATATTGTTGATAGTAGCGATAATTATGATAGCTACAATTGAGACGACGAATATGGCGACATTAATGACTTTCCATAAATATTTATGGCCAGCTATAATTTTTGAATTTAAATCATAATATCTTTATTAACCTCTTTTGACGAATATGAATTTATCATTATTATAGTACTAGTTACATGTTCGTGTTTATGACAGACTCGGCTTTTAACAAAGGACGTGCTAATTTTATTATCCCATTGATTTCGTGATCGATACATTAAATGGGCTCGCTAAACCTCTCACTTTATGTAAAACAGTCCGTCATATAACCGTAATATAACGTTATACAACATCAATGAAGTTCCTACAAATTTCTAAAAAACTGTAAACCGTCGCGTGCTCGTAATTCATTAACAAAGTTATCTTCGACTTCCATTATCCATCTACGGTGTTATTGATCGTCAGAATTCAACTGATGATCTATACTTCCGCACGAATACCACTACCAATCGACAATTAAGTGGTCATCCATACCATCAGCGCCGTAAACACTGGTTTAAGTACCCAAGTCATCAAGTACCGCGGGACTGGGAATGATATCATTTGCTTATCTTTCCACGCAAGTTGCAAGAACAATAGTTTGTGTTACTCGAAGGTTATCAACCTGTCACTATTACTGCATTGTTTTATTCGTCGAAAACTGCTGGAAACACCTACTGTTTGCCTTCAGAAGCTTCGCCAGTAATGGCTAATGGATTATAGTATCCTTAAGTAGTTGGTCAGACAGCCTAAGTGCCTGACAATGCGCTAATTATGTCTAGTTAACCATTTTAATGTTTGATTTGCATTTGTAGCTGCATTTGTATGGCTGTTGTGTACTCTTAAACGATTTGATTTGCAGTTCAACTAGAGAAAGTTTCTGATCAAAGGTCGTTAGCATTTATGTACACGTGCTCTTTGGTGCTATTCCTGAAACGATCTTTCTATTCATCCAAGGATTTGATAGAAAGGCAATTATAGCCATTCGTCATGTGGGCTATCCTTTTGCGATGTAAACACAAGATGCGCCGAGGAATCAATAAATAATATATCGAACATAATCCTTATAAACCCTCTCTGACTAAATATGTTTTTGGAAATAATAAACATAATGTCAATCCTACTCATATTATTAACTGGAAAAATTGTAAGTAGCGCTGTTACATAAAACTTATAATTTACCATGCGAGTAACGCGGGCGAAACCACTGGCCGAGGCTAGTGAATTCTTAATACGAAATCTAGTCTCCATATCTCATTTGAAACATAACGCTTTAACATTACATACATTCAAGGTAGGTTACATAGATCCAGTATACACCTTGTCAATGTGTAACAATTGAGATAAGTGCGAGTTTAGCATTGGTTCCAGCATAGAATATTAGTCGCGATTTAGATAAGTAGTTTATCTAGCTAGATGCTGATGGCTGATGCCGACCGGACTGGTTCACAACTGGATCACACTTACATAGATTGTTGCAAGGTTTTGTAGATGGAATAGAATCCAATAATATTAACCAAGTATTCGTCTCAGAATGGCTTATATATAACAGTAAACCTCTGTAACAAGTAATGATGATGACAAATACTTTCTTTTTAAAAGAGTAACGATGGAGTTTCTTGCTCGTTCTTCTCCATTCGAATCTACAGTATAGAAATACTGAAACTACTATTTTGACGTTTCAAAAGTAGGTACCTATTTATGGTTTAGTAGGAGTAAATGATATTAACTTTGATGTCCTCGTAAAGTACGATAAACCATCAGCCCGGTTCTCATTAAAAATATCGACGTTAATCGTTAGTCAGAATATTCATTCACACGTTAATCGCCAAGGTCTCTGGGGACCCGCGGAAGCGGAGGATTTGCTTTCAATAATTTTCTGTTTGTAGTCAGACAGATGTTAGAGGTTAGATGGCAGTCGCCTCAGGTAAAGACTCACTCAAATCAGGTAAGATTCAATACCGACCCTAAGACAATTTTTCAAGGTCATGAGACAGAAGATAGGTAAAAGACAATAGAATAAACACTTGGAGACAAGACATTAATCCTGTAGTCAAAGTAAAACCCCACATGGTACCCATTGTTCCTAATGGGCTCTATAGGTGAAATCCCAATTATTTAAGTATTTGCTTATTTCAAACGATATTATTGTTCATTGTCGTATATTCCTATTTAATTTTTAATAGCTAATACAATGAAACAGTTCTATTGTACATTATGACTTGCTAATAATCCTGTCCAAATTTGGCACAGAGCCATTGTGTGATAAGTTTAAGGTTACAAAAACAAAGAACTTAATAAAACATTACTATCCAAACTAATATTATAAATGCGAAAGTAACTCTATCAGTCTGTCTGTGTCTTTTCGTCACGCCTAAACTACTGAACCGATTTCTGTAAAATTTGGTAGAGACATAGTTTGGAACACGAGAAAGGACATAGGATAGTTTTTATACCAAAAATCTGCAGGATGTCACTATTCCACGCGAACGGAGTCGCGGGCAAAAGCTGGTATAGGAATAAACATAAAATAATTTTCTTAAAAGCTAATGTAATTTCACTTGACAAATTCAACATTAACGAAACATGTATTAAAAATCACGTTTTCCACACTTTGCTGAACATAGATTTATATTGAAGCATTAATTTGACGTTTATGTTAGAATATTAACACCGACTAACGTAATTATAGGTCCCGCTTAACGCATAAGTGCAAGCGATTTCGTCACAATTAAGACATTACTTGAAATTAGATTGTTATGTTAATGAAAATGCAATGGCTCTACTATAAGTATTTTCACAAAGATTTTTTATCACTTATCGTTATAATAATTAAAATATTTACGGGTTCACTTAATTATACGCTTTCAATAAGACGGGCATAATAATTACTTCGCCTCGTTATTGGATTACTGATTTAGTCGAACTGCAAATTACGTGCCACTTACTTATCATCTACGATACTTTAATTACCAGTACTAGCTAATTACTTATTTGCCAACGTTACTACTGACTTATTGAGTTTGTTTACATTATTCAGAATTTCAGCTCAGTGTAATACTTTAAAGGAATGAGTTAGAGAGAGAAAGAGAAAAAATTGTTTAAGACGATTTCACCTATGTCAGACAGACACCTATGTCAGTTACAGAAAAATAGATTCCGAAATCATTGCTAGCGAATTTCCAAGAAAGTTTCTGGCTAAGAAATAAATTCAACTTTATCAGTAAATGCTAAAATTTTTGTTTCAGAACAAGTGGTGGTCAGGCGTCGGGCCGGGCTGCTGCACCGCGCCCGCCGTGCCGAGTCGCGCGTGCGATGCGGAGCGGTCCCCGCCGCCCGCGCCGCCTCCCGCTCCGCCTGTGCTTTGCGCCAGACCCTGCTGTCGCGACGCCACGTTAGTACCTATACTCTTAGCTTTATTTTCTTTTACCCAGTAGGAAGCTAGATAAAACTCATGCATATAATTTTAAATAGATGTAATCACAGCTACTAGTGTATAATTAAAAGCTTGTGTCGTTGACATGTACTTAATGCAGTTAAGGCTGTCCACTGCTCGTTGAAATATCGCCACAAAAACGAACTGCATATGTACTATAGAGGGTCGGACAAAACGTAATTATAAGGGAAAGCAATATTCTGAAGTACGGCAAGCTAAATTATGTTAAATTAAATTTTTCATTCAAGTACAAATAGTGGTCTCCCTATTTCATTTCTCAATTACTCTCTGGATGACCATCTCTGGTGACAAAAGAAGCTTGTGAAATTATTATAATTGCAAAAGGGTTGGAAAGGATGACCAACGTCCACAAAAACTTTTATAATATATTCCGATTCCGACTAGGTTTTTACTATGCGAATGTTTGGGAACTTTTACATTCAGTAAATTTTGAATACATGCAGTACCTACTTCTCCTTTTTTTAGACCAGCGTAAACTTTGTCTGGAGAGAGCCAAATGGGTGCTCTACCAACCAATCATTTGTCACATTTACCAGAGGAACTTTATAGGATTTATTTATTCGCGAAAAAATATCCCGAAAGTAATTTCCGACGTTCTAACATAATTTTTAGCGGCTTCTGCTCAGTAGCGAGGGTTGCTAGTTGAATTCCGTAAAGTGCTCTTAGTGGGGCCGTAACCGTAATTTGAAATCGTAATTTCGCAAATGTGATTTTCAAATGTCCGTAAAGCCTGGTTGGTTTACCGAGAACAATAATTTAATTTCAATAGACAAGAACTGCGACATACTATCTATGTAGCAGTTAAAACAACTGAACAATTCATAGCAACAACATCTAGTTTTAAAACAAGCAAACATTTCATACAATCGGCGCTTGCGTTCCCACCGCGTGCGTACTCTGCTCAAGCGCAGGTTAATGGTACCCTCATTATTGAATGGGCCACACAATACGGAGAATTCGGGTGTGCGGTCCCCTCCGCTTCTCGCTACCTGTACCCCCCGCTACCCTCGACCCTAGCCAGCTACCCTCGTCCCTTAGCCCATTTCCAAAGCGTCATTCGGGTTGCAACCCTTACGATGCGCGCACGCATTCTGCCGGGATACGCCAATTCAACACAATTATTAAAACATTTGTTTTTAATACTGGATTGTTTATAGTATTAGCGAGTGTACAGTGATATTTAGTATAGTGAAATTTTGTACAGTGTAATATAGTGAACGTTTAGTTTATGTTTTTATTATTTTTATCACTAGTGTACCTAGTAATACATTTTGTTATAATGGATCTATCACTAAAACGAGTAAAACACGAGGAGGAGAGTGACGATGACGATTACTACAACTTTTATAATGAAGAGGACCTTAAGTAAGTTGTTGATGTTTATTGCAAATTATATTTAGAACCAGTTTCCTTTGACAGATAAGCTGTTTGTTTTTCTCCCACAATATATGTAGATTAGTCTATTTCGTGTCTTTATCGTCGTAATATGATAAATATTTTAAATTGAAACTATTCCATTTTGCACCTTAATTTGCCCACCCGATGCCAAAGTTGCTGGAAAGAGAGACACATACAGAGAGAAAGAGAGAGAGAATATAGTACCACACGATTACTTGAAGATTCTCAAGGAATCTTGTGATACAATTGTTGTTTGCATAAACCTGCTCAAACGTATCCTTAACCTACCTTTCTCCTGGTGTGGTAACTACATCTAGGTTCTGTATGGTCCTTGCCGCCTTTGGAACACCAAAGAACAATATCTTCATTTGTTTTCGGTTCTCTCAAATCGTTTTTTAGCATCTTCACTTTCATTGGTTTCTTCGTGAAATCTACGATTATCAAGCTGTTTTATTTTCTTCCATATGTCTTGTTTTCTTATTTTTATCGTACTTTTCTCCATGGATGTTTGGCACCGTTCCAATTTTCTGTATTACCTGGTGAGAAGTTCTGCATCCGATAGCAGTTTTTACGAATAAGCAAATGTCCAAAGTTTTCTGTTTTAAAAGGCGTCTCATCTTCATCTTTGTTTTCTCATCTAACTTCCTCGATTCCCAAAATCTTGGATTTTATAACTTCTCTCAGTGCTTTAACTATTCTTGTGTTAATTTCTTTAGTACTTTTGCCTTTGTTGCCAATTGCATTGTCTGTACGAACTAACTGTATTCCTGCTATACTGTAACATTATTTGTTTTGAATTCTGTAAGCAATTTAGTTTTTACTTTTATTTGATGTCTTCATCAACATTTCTTTGACATGTATCGCATCTTTTTCATATAGACATGATCAAAACTATGTTAGCTGCATCCATTAAATAATCATGCTCTTCTGTTTATGGGCTTGTTTAATTATTCTTAAATGGCACACTCTTCTTGTTTTCAGTATGTATGGTTCAGTATGTAAGGTCTTTTATCTTTTAGTTTTTCTAGATTTTGGACTAGACTAAACAATCTAAACGATTTTATCCATCACACAGCAGTTGCTCGAATAATATCATAAAATGTAATGTTTACTTGATCAAGAATACAGAATAAAAATAAAACAAACAAAATGTATTTTTTGTTAAAAACAATATATCATGTTTCACCTATTCCAGAAGAAAAGAAGTGTAAATTAAATTATCGTTACTTTTTAGCATGATTAGCATTCGTAATTATTAAAACGTCCAGTTCGTTAGAAGTTAAGAATTAATCTGGCATCATTAGTCATTTTTACATTATTGATCTAGTTGCAATATTATAACACGGATAAAAAAGGTTTAATTTAATTTTTTTAATAATAAATGAGTTTATTATAAAATGACCATAATATCGTTTCTCTAGCATTGTATTTTTTACACTTTAAAAATCGCAATTTAAGTATTGGTAAAATGTAAATTACTTTCCCGTTTTACTCAACATAATTGCGTACTTAATTGCTTGATAATTACGATGTCTATATTATGCTAATATAATTATGTTATACCTATTGCACACGGTTTCTTGGAAAGAATTTTAATTCTGTAGTCCGTCAATTCAGGAATTTATACTTTTATTTACCTAGGTAACACCTAATCCCATAAGCTTACGAATAATTGATATTCTTGGAATTTGTTCTCAGATGTTAATAAAGTTTTTAAACAAAAAGTCAGGCAAAATAAACAAGATCTGACTTCTTTGGGATTTATTTATAAACCTGGAAACTGTAGATACTTTCTCTTAGTCGCAAAAAGTATTTTACTTGCAACAAGTTTCTTTAAATAGTTCTCAATTCTATTCGAAAAGCTTTAAAATTGAAATTCCAATAAAAAACTTTGACGGTTTATACAAGCTTGAAGTACTAGTCCATAAATAATAATAAATCGTGTCCCTTACTTTCGACGTTATTTCCAATACAATAAATACCGTTATACTATTTCACACTTTATGTCGTTAGTAATAAGGTCTAATATCTAATAATATGTATCGATTAATCGGAATTGCCCCTTGAGGTTAGGCTAACGTAGATGCGCCAACGCCGAAGGGATTTTTTGTAACGGGAACTTGCGCTTGGGTACCATTTAGTTTTTGTTACCTATGTTATTTTTGGGTATAGCAAAAAGTGGTGGTTCGCTCCTAGTAAAGTGAAATTAAGGTGGATTTTGTAAAGATGCTGTGGAATTTTTGAAGTTACACTTGTGTCGGAAACAACCACCTGGTTGTTCGTGATTTGGTTGGGTATTTTTCTGCACTGTTATGGTACTTTTGGTTAAGTAGATTTTAGTTAACGTTTTTAATCTATACTAATGTTACATAACTGAAGAGCTAGTTAGTTTGTTTGAGAGAGCTAATCTCCGGTGTTACTGGTTCGATTTGAACAATTCATCTTGTGTGCGTTGGTTCATTTATCGAAGAATACTATAGGCTATAAAACATCACGCTACGATCTGAAAGAGCAGAACAGCCGGCGAAACCATGTGGGAGTAGCTAATATAATTTGACTAAAACAAAATAGCCAGAATGAAATAATATAGATATTAAGACTAAATTTTCGTATTGATATCTGTATCCTAGATTAGATTTAATAGATGCTGGAATTTTTAAAAAAGAGTAGATACATTATACGTCCTATGGAATAACACAAAGGCTATATTATTCCTACTAAAAAATATCTAAACATGAATGTTGCCTTACAGTGTGGGAGATAGCATTGATCAGCGGCGCGTCGTCGTTGAACAAGTCGGCAGCGGCGGCGGCGCGGGCGCGAGCGGCGCGCGGCACAAGACGGCTCCCCAGGCCGCAACGACGACGGCTCACAGCAAGCAGCTGGCGGCGGGCGGGGCCAACCACCCGCCCCAGCCGCAAGGTAACCATAAACGTAATGTCTTTGTTGTTACCTCCTTATTTATTATACACAGTTTACACACAACACACTTAACACAACACAACGCAAACATACATATACCTACGTTTATTTAAATATTTTGGTGAAACTCACAAATATTAAGTATAGGGTTAAGACCAAAAAGAAATCGGTCTTTTTTATAAACCCATAACAATTTGTTATTTTCAAATCTAATAAAAAAACATGATGCATCAAATATTTGGTAAAATTTTTTCTATTTCCATGCTTCAGTAGGTAATGTAAATATGTATGATTTATAAAAATACCACGTTTACCTGTGAGCTTTTCTATTAATTCTATACTAACTAAGGCAAACGTGGAATATTTTGACATTATTTTTGTCAAACAAAAGGTTTCATCAAACAATAGGGATTTTATTGAATAGTTCAAGCAGGTACATTGTATTGACAGATTCCTTCAGATTAGCAACTTAATGGCTTATGACTATCCCTATTGTAAATTGTATTTTAAGTACTTACAAACTTGAAACAAATGACACGATAACACTACTCAAAGAATATTCAGACATTTCCAAAAACCTTTGTTTTATTGTCATCATACTTTTTTTCTTTACACTGTCCAGGTTTATTATATTATCTGTACCGCCTTATTTTGTTATATTCGATATTTAAAAAAGCATAAAATAGACTTAAGTCTTCTAAGCCTTATTGTAAAATAATATTACTTCTATATCATTTATTTTAATGATAATCGAAAATCTTCAATCTATTTATATGATTGCCATTGACATTTGAAACACAGATTATGAATGTTCAACATTGTATTTAAAGTTATTTCTGATGTTGGATAACATGGCATTTAAGAAACTTGTCCTATCATAACACCTGTTTTCTCAATCGTATAAACAGAAGCAAGCAAGTTGGTTCGAATTGAACAACTAAGTACTATACTGATATTTTTAATAAATAAATACATTAAGTTAGGAAAATATTGTACAAATAAGGCAGATACGGCTGCAACACAATCCAAAATCTTCTGATATGACCTGCCGTTTTGGTGGGGAAATTACAACTCAATAGAAATAGATAATGGTTATAGAAAAAAAAACCTGATATTATTTTTACAACATCTGGACAATGTTTATATATATATAAACACAAATAATACCGATCAAATGTGTGAATATTCTTTAAAATCATATATTACGGGCGTATTGTATAAAAATTCAACCAACCTAACAGGAGGTAACAATGCTTAAAAGAGTCCCGTGGGAACCACCCTGTAGATTGTTTGAACTTTCATGCACTATCCTTCGACAAACGCACTTAGCATAAGTTTTTTAAGTCCTTTTTTATGATGTTTGCTGTGACACCTACAAATAACCTTTAATGTTATTTGCATAGAGTTTAAATCATTTACTTTAGGTAAATTACCGTTCTTATGGATAGTCAATAACCTGAATGTAGGTTGATTTGGGTTACGACCCTAGAACAAAAAAGAAACTGACATAAAGTCCATTAAATTTGTGTCATTAAAAGTCTTAAATTTTTACTGTGTCATAGCTTTCGTCATAATCAATTCTATAAGTAGGTCAATAAAAGTTTTATATTTTTACCAGGCTCAAGCCAAGATAATTCAGACGTTAACAACTCACTCGTTTTAACATAGATAGATTGATTAATATCATTAATTGTTTTGTTAACACGAATTAACTTCGCTTGAGCGCAGTCTAATGTGTAACCTCTTTTTTAACTAGTTTTTTTTTATAAAAATATCGTTTAGATAGTATACGTTCTTTGGACTTCTGAAATGTTTTCAATAACACTATTAAATACCTGACACACCAGTAATAATGAAAACTCACGTTATTAATGTCACTAGAATTAATAAAGTCACAAGTTTTCATGTCGTTAATGACCCGCGCTTGTACCGTACACATTGTAATGACAGTCATTATGTCTAATACCCACTCTGCTTACATAGATACATAAATATAAATAAATATTCTAGTGTCTGGACCATATACATTTTAATGAGTCTATATAATCCGAGCCGATAGAATCGGCACTCCGTTCCTGAAGGCCATTTTGAATTAATCATAATTATAATGTAAAGCCTTTCAAAGTTACCATTAAACTGTTGCTTTGAATTTCAATGGACATTTTCACCGATTTACACTTTGTTTGCTTTTAAAGTGACTTGTTACTTAGGCGAGTCGCAAGCTTTGCGCTAAAAATAACTTGGAACTAAATAACCCCATTTCTTTCAGTTGACCAAAATAACAGACAATGACAACACAATTGACACAACCCTATGTCTTTCTTTCTTCCCCAGATCCACAAGGAAACAAAAAATATGATAATTCTAGAAGACCAACAGCTCGAACAAAACGTGAGATATAGACACACATTTTTTATAGTATAGGCAACATTTTGGAAGTCCAAAGATGCGTCTTAATATCATAAATACCAACACTACAATCATATTAATCAAAACTGTTCAGAAGTCACTTTATAAATATATAAAATGTTTTGAACAATTTTGATCATTATGTACTTGATTTCTCTCTTACTTAAGTTTAGTTGACTAAATGGACGTGTGTGACTAATGTGTGGTGTGTTTTTGCAACTGCAACGATACAGGCTCCGGCTGTGGTGGCGATGGCGACTACCAGCTGGTGCAGCATGAGGTGCTCTACTCCTCGTCCAATAGGTCAGTAATTACTTCAATGTATTTTACATATCAACAATGGAGCCAATGTTCCTTAGTATTTGAGTACCTTTCACTTTAACTAGACTATTATAAGTATAATCATTCAAATGTATCCAGGTTATTTCTTTCTTAAAAGTTTATAACGTCTTTTTCTTTATGTAAACATCTCAAATACCCTTTCTAATCTTTACCTAAATATCTTCTACCTGAACTATGACAATTATTACATCCTAATTATCCCAGTAATTTCTTCCAATTTCAAAAAATAAAAATCATTTTTCTATGTGTCTGTCATCTAAAAAGTTATATATAATATATAGATATTCCCAAACAATTAATACAGATGTCATAAAATAAAGGACTTTAAAGTGTCTCGGTCCTCGGTTCATACGTACAGTAGTCTGCCAGCATATCGTCAAGTGTTGTGGGTTCATTACATGAAACCGTGTGTCTCTGTAATTGGCCGGAGGTAGTTGCACGTCCACCGATAAGATCGTATGACGGACAAGGCGGGACTGTTGATTATACAGATTGATCTTGATTAACGAGGACTACCTAAAGTACCGCGCTAACCGTGGATTATTATGAATACGTTACAACTTTTTAAAACAAAGTGGCCGGGTGCTGTTTTACAATAAATATTATACATTAATCGTCACGAATGTTATAGTATTGCTACACAACTTTTGCAATATTTCTCGCTTTGCGATCTTACTTGGTATAGTTATAAATTTTTACTAGCGATCAGCCCCGACTTCGAATTAATACACGACGTTATTATACAATACACAAACCACCCTCTTCAATCACTCTATCTATTTATATAAACCGCATCAGAATCTGTGCCGTACTTTTTATAGATTTTAGCATACATAGCGATATAGGGACAGAGAAACCGACTTCGTTTTATGCTATGTATTAGTACTACATATATTACCTAGCCTTTTGCCTAGCTATGGCTCTTATCTAATTGCATTAAATGTCAATACACAATTACTATGTATTGTAAAATATGTATGTTAGTATATAACAGAATACATATTATTGTTTTTACAATATAAAGGTACGTTCAATGTAGAAATCCTTGCGCTCGTTTCATTTATCAACAGTCCTTGCATTCTTTCTACTTTTCCAAATACATTATTCATAATCCCCCACAGCGAAACTGTTAAACGTTTTATTTTAAATACTCATTTTTTTTACTTACACTGCTTTGGCACAGTTTCAGATTCAGTCATTGAGACTTTGATTGAAGTCTCTGATTTAGTTGTCTATAAATTATGAAGTTATTTCCTTGTCAATAACAATAAATAACAATGTTGTTCAGATGTAGATGTTCTATAAATAATAATTCTAGTTAAAGGTAAATTTTAATACTTCTGAATTGTTTCCCATTTTCGGTATCTATAGTGTTATTACTTACTTATGGTTTTTTTCTTTCATTACAGGTACGAGGTGTTGGAGTTCCTCGGGCGAGGTACGTTCGGGCAGGTGGTAAAGTGCTGGAAGAAAGGCACTAATGAGATAGTCGCCATCAAGATCCTCAAAAACCACCCCAGCTATGCCCGACAAGGACAGATTGAGGTAAAATATTTCTATATTCCAAACACTTTTTATTTTTAACGACTGATATTTTAGTAGTGGCTTTGACATTTCCCTAATTACAGTGTTCAACGAATATTTTAACACATTAGAGGTTAGCATACATTGTTCTGAAGTTAAAAATATATTTTGAAACGTTTCCAATATCACGGGGTTGGTCGATGGACGCCATATTGTCTGTTACAATCATTGTCACTATTATACTAAATACTACTTCAAAAACATGTATTTAGGTACATGTCTAGAATCCAATCTTTCATCTGTATTGTATTTCCACTACTATTATACTTTTTCACGAATACAAACGTATATTTTGAATCATAGCCAAGTCCAACATTAATATTAGTTTGTTTAAAAGATAGCCCTTTATGTAGGTCAAGTTTTATTTTATGAATTCTGGGTTTGATAAATAAAAAACACACTGAATCTCCTAGCTATTAAAGCTCTTTTTGTAATATCGTGATGTGTGATTTAAAATTATCGATATGTAATTTGATTCTTTATTTACATTGTTGATTTACAAAAATAGGTCTTATGTCTTCAAAAATAACTTACAAAATTTTAGGAATGGCGTTCTTGTCAAAAGGTATGTGTAGGATGTCAGTGACTCTATTTACGTTTGATAGAAGGGTGGAATTGCAAGAGCGTTATAGTGAGTTTGGCTTCGCTCCAGCCGGTCGGCACTGTTTGTCCACCGAAGTGGTTTCCACCCTGTATATAACATCTAGGAGACAACATGTCGACGTTGACCTCCATTTACATGTTATGACAGGTGCGATGTCAAGAATTCTCTCTTGGCATTTCTTTAGGTGTATACTTTGCGATGTGTAACACTTTCTGTTTTGTATAAATGATCGTCTGAATGTATATAGTGCTGTTTTAATCTACCCTTCTGATATTGTGGAAAAAAATATACCGATAAATACCGACCTGAAAGCATTTAATAGAAAGAAAAGTCTGTAATTTCACGATAAATACACATTTTTTGTCTCTCATTGAATACACGATAAAAACTTATAGTCACTGTATGTTCCGAACTAAAAAGTAATAACAATACATCGTTGTTCACAGGTATCTATCTTATCCCGGCTATCCCAGGAGTCAGCCGATGAATTCAATTTTGTTCGGGCGTACGAGTGCTTCCAGCATCGCTCGCACACGTGCCTCGTGTTCGAGATGCTGGAGCAGAACTTGTACGACTTCCTCAAACAGAACAAGTTCTCGCCGCTGCCTCTCAAATATATCAGGCCCATACTCCAGCAAGTCCTCACGGCGTTGCTCAAACTTAAAGTAAGTATTGTCTTTCATAACTCAAAGAAAGTCATTAACATTTTTATTTCCAACATTACAATATTTTCCCTATACGTCAAATTGTCTTTGTATATTAAAAATAAACATTATATTTTAGCCTTCAGTTTTTTCTTCTATTTTCTTTCCTCTCTTATATTTGTTCTGAGACATTGAGACCTTGCTTCGCACCAACCGCACGATTACTCTGCACTAAGCTATATGATTGTTAGAGAATGCCTAAAGGCATTAGTCTGCCATTCAGACTGTTTTGTGTGAAGAAGAATAAATATACCAAATACAATGTTTGGGGAACATATTTTGATGATTTTGTTTTTTCTTTGTAGCAACTGGGATTAATACACGCGGATCTAAAGCCGGAAAACATAATGTTGGTGGAGCCAGCGCGACAGCCTTACAGAGTCAAAGTGATCGACTTTGGAAGCGCTTCGCACGTCAGCAAGGCCGTCTGTAACACATACTTGCAGAGCAGATACTACAGGTAAATATACTTTACAACACCTACTATCCACACCATTCCAATAAGAAATGAGGTGTGGTGTGATAAACCAAGCCCTATAAATAAAGTGAAAACAGTAACAAGCTCCTATAAAAAAGAGTAAAATAGTAAACACTTCTGTCTCAACTGATTTTACATTCATCAATTATATCTTTCAATTTTAAAATTTACCACTTTATTAGCAATATTTTAATATTATATCACTTTTAGATCTTCAGTTTATGTAAAGTAGAAATATCTTATAACACACCATCTTATTCAACAGGGCGCCGGAGATAATCCTGGGTCTTGCATTCTGCGAGGCCATCGACATGTGGTCTTTAGGCTGTGTGGTTGCTGAGCTGTTCCTGGGCTGGCCTCTGTACCCCGGCTCCTCGGAGTACGACCAGATCCGGTACATTTCACAGACACAGGGCCTGCCCACTGAACATATGCTCAATAGGTATGTACCATTTTACACTATTAAATGTAATAAGTAAATTTAACTTATTACATTTTGTAAATGTTTTTCAACTATTATTAAGCTGTGTTATCTCAGAATGTAGATCTAAGCAAGACAAAAAGTATGTATATTGTGCTTCGCATACAGGCAGACAAGAGAGGTTAAGTGTCGATAACTATCTGTCTAGGTATTTGTATATAGAAGCATCTGTATATTTCGACACATTTTAAGCGATGCTTCTGTTAATATTCTAAGTGAGCAATTCTATAGACACGACTATTGAGACTGTCGATCATTGAAATCGAATCGAAATTTACAAACTCAAGTTTTAATTTAATTAAACTAACCATTTCAAATGTGCACATTTTTTACAGCGCTAGCAAAACGGCGAAGTTTTTCTACCGCGATGTGGACAGCACTTACCCGTTTTGGCGTTTGAAGACCCCTGAGGAACATGAGCTGGAAACAGGCATAAAAAGCAAGGAGGCCAGAAAGTATATATTCAACTGTCTTGATGACATAGGACAAGTAAATGTACCTACGGATCTTGAAGGCGGCCAATTATTAGCCGAGAAAGCAGACAGAAGGGAGTTCATCGATTTACTTAAGAGAATGCTTACAATGGACCAGGTTGGTTTGCAAGTTTTATCTTTAGTAAATTATTATTTTTCAACTTATTGGCTTGTACCGCGGTTTCGCTCCATGCTCGGCTCTTATAGCCTTTCTCGTTAAATGTACTATCCAACACAAACAAAAATATTTTATCAATTGACTGCACGGTTGGCATTGTGGCTGGGTAACTCGCTGCCACGCAACGTGTCGCGGCTTGAATGTTTATAAACCCACCCACGACACAGGAGAATGAAAAGAAGGAGAAAAAAAACGTTTTAAGTTACACAACATATTTTTTTTAAATACCTATTAATAATTTCTGGAGACGCGTTAACACATACTAGCCTTACAAACCAGTATAAATGATAATATAAACTGAAACTAATGCCCTTTAAATATTCCAGGAAAGACGAATAACTCCTGGCGAAGCATTGAACCATGCTTTCGTGACACTCGCCCATCTCGTCGACTATGCACACTGCAACAACGTCAAGGCGTCCGTACAAATGATGGAGGTAAGTGTTGTAATCTTTTTTATTTGTTAATAATTTTGTTTCTTTGTAGGACACGGTTGTCAAAACATTAGTCATCACGCGAAACAGGCAGCACCATTCTCAGATAACATATAACTGCGAATTTTTTTTTATTTTAGTCCAATTATTTCTCATTTATTTAGCCCTTTGATTGGTTTGTAAACTTGAAGCTGGCCAATTAGAACGCCGAACGAGAAAGGTTTTATCATCATCACACAAAGCAACTTATTAAGAGTTCTCATTAACGATCGATCAACTACACAACGCACCTTGAGTCTACGATTTCAGTAAATAACCTCTTTTTTTCTTGCTATAGGTATGCCGTCGTTCTGGCGGTGGAGTGGGCGGGGTGGGCGGCGTGGGCGGCGGCGGCGCGGAGTACGTGGCCGGCGTCGTGCCCGGCGCCGCGCCCCCCCACCATCTCGCGCTCACCATCAACCAGCAGAGGCTTCGCGCCGCGCCATACGACAATCTCGTAAGTCTACTAGTCTACTTTGCTATATGCTATACTAGCTCCCATCCACGCGTTATATGTTGATAAAAAGCCTTTGTCCTTTACCGAAGTGAATCCTATGCCTGTGCCAAACTTCATCCAGATCCGTCCAGGCGTTTTGGCGTAATTGAGTAACAAACATCCAAACATCGTAACTTTCGCATTTATAATATTAGTAAGATTTACTAAGTGCACAAACTGACATTTTTTTAACAGCAAAGGAAAAATTAAATAAACGATATAATAATTGTTGCCTTAAAAATACTGCTACCTTAAAGCAAATGTCTACAATGTATTCGTCTCTTTTGTTCCCCCAGTACCAGCTGTACCAGGGCGGTCGCGTAGCAGTGGGAGGTGCCCGCCAGTACGCCACCCGGGCTGCAGAACCATTCCCTCATCAATTCGTCTCGTCCATCCTCTGCCAGCCTGCATACCAGGTGAATATAAATAATTATCACTTTAAAAAGAAGCGCGCTTGGATGAAATTCATCCAAAGCAAAAGAAATAGAGATTTTATGTATTCACCCTTTTAAATGATACTTTAGTTGATAACTATAATGTAGCCGTCCAAAAAAAGACTGAGCCAAAAAAAAATTGGTGATATTAAGTATTAATTTCGTCTAGTCTAGTCTAGTCGACAAGTCCTTTATTAATGTGATATGAATTTGTTTTAAATAGCCTTTTTAGGCAGCTGTGACTTGTTTAGTCAGTATATTTTTTCTGAAATACGAATTATGTCTTAGAGCATCTTGGATACTTAAACAATCATCGGAATGTGAAATGCCCACTGGATGTAAGGACTGGTAGTCCGAGCTCTGCTCAACAGTGGATGTTTTCCCTCTGATAATAACCAAGAAAATTTCTCTAAACATCATTATATTCAGAAAATGTTATATAAAATACAAAATAAAAAATCTCTAACTAATTTGATACATTCCAATGGATTATATATGTTGTACTTGGTTCGGAAATATGAATTTTCATGGCAATAGAATTTTTATATAACAACAATCATGCCTTAAATAATTCAGCGCCTTGGGTAAGAAATCATCAGAATGTGAAATGCCCACTGGATGTAAGGACTGATAGTCCGAGCTCTGCTCAACAGTGGATGTTTTCTGTCTGATGATGACCAAGATACAGGTCACTAATGATCATTCTGCTAACAAAATCTTAAACTATTTTGTTAGATCATATCTATATTAAGGATTTATATGCTGTATATAGGTTGTGACTATGAAATAATTGCCTTCATGATTGTTTTGAGACTGTTACTTTCTCTGAAAGAAATTAGCATCTTGGGTGACAATCGGGGATATGGGGTGCCCACTATCCAAGCCTCTGCTCTACGGGGATGTCTTCCAATTGATGATAATCAAGACACCAACTACTTATCATCAGCCTGCAAACAAAATCTAATGAACTGTAATGAAAATGTAATGATTTGAATATAAATATATTTTCTCAAGTAATAATTTTGTCTTGAAGAACTTAATTTAATATCTTGGGTGGTAGTCATCAGAATATAGGGTAACCACTGGATGTAAGGACAGACTGTCCGAGCTTTTGCTCAACTGTGGAAGCTATTCCATCTCATGATGATCAAGATATGCATAGAGTGTGTAGCCTCTAATTATTAAAAAATCTCTAATAATCATCTCATTGGGAAAATCTCAAAGAGTACAATAGATTATAAATCTAGTACTTATTGATTAGAGGATTTTACACACTGCACATAGTTCTTAAAGCAATATATATTGTTTCAGCTGAAGCCAATAAAATTATTATTTTGTAAAACAAAGTTGCCTTACATAGGATGTGTATATATGGATGGAATTGAATATAAAAAATGTTATTTTTGTTCAAAGTTTTTAAGAAATGTAAATAAACAAGGAAAATAAAAATTAAAAACCTGTTTTTTTTGCGGACATCCTTAAAAATTTACTAACATTTTCGAAATCCACATATAATTAACTATACGAAATGAAGGTGACAATTTCAATAAAACTATATCGAGATACATGCTATATAAACAACACTTTCAAAAGTATTCAGTAATTTTGTAGGCGTATATCTCGATAATATGCAACGATTTCCCAGCAGAATTAAAGAAATCACTTTTCTTTGTGATTTCTGGATTCTGGTAGGAGTTGTTTATTTACTATCATTGACCACGCAAGGCAACTAGACACCCCCAAACTTGGGCATTTGGTGATGTCTGAACACGTGTCTTGGAGAGCTAAGATATCATTAATACCGCTTGTCATATAAATTCCAAGTCATAGCGGACTTGGAATTTGTCTCATAGTCATTTACTAGTTACTTGATCTGTATCCTTAGCTATTGTTTTTGGAACGAAATCATAATTGAGGAATAGTTTAAGGAAACATTACTTAATTGGGTAGTTTCCTAGGTCAAAAATAAATTAATTCGACGTTTTAATACAATAAAATATTTAAAAATAACTATACTTTTATTCATCGATCGATCGATACACTAATTTTTAGATATTTTGTAGCTAATTATTAAGAAATAAGTAAGCTATTTGGCGCAAAAGTACCATGACGTCCTCATACCTCAGTTCATACAAATTTCATAGAAATGTATCGTTTTTGACATTTCGATAAAGTATTGAATGTGACTAGTTGGAAACAATACGATAGGAATTGTTTCTATGTTTGATAGCCAGTATAATTTAAAGTAGTCAAAATTCTAAAATAATCCTTGGTTCGAATAGCAAGAATGTGGTTTTGCTTCTAGCGGGGTCCTTAGGGCAGAGAACAGTTACAGCGTTTGTATAAACTACTAACATTCTGCCGAAAGTAATTAAAAGTCAGTGTTGAACTCCTAAGAGTATAATATTTTTTGATGAAAAAAAGAAAGGGAAAAGTAAGGAGAAAGTAGGCATATGATTACAATAAAGAAAACATTCTAATGTACTAAAAATAGATAAAATATACAAAGGCGTCGAATATTTACCCTCCTTTTATTTGAAGTCCAAAAAGGTACAATGTTCAATTGCCTATTTAGTGCAGTGGTTTTGCTAACTATCTTCTTCAATATGATCTGGAACGCAATCTATCATTATTATGGCACTTTCTAGTTAAATTATTGTACTCAGAGTACGGAACATATCAGTCACATATTAACAAGTAAGGAAAAAAAACATGTATCAATATAATGTAAGATTACTCGGAATACCTTACTATCTCAAAAAGATAGAAATAAAGACTTAATTCGACCTTATAATTTTTTGACATATTGATGGGACTTGCAAAAAAATCAAAGCTACGATGCTACGATAAGGCATACGATTCATCTTTGAAATAGCTAAAAAGTTGAAAAAAGAAACGTGTTTAAAATAGACCTAGTTTATAATGATTGGTACACACATAGAACAAATACTTAAAAAGAAACAGAAAAAAAAACTAAAAAAAGAAAAGAATACCATAACTTGGGAACTTATTCAGGAATAAGAACAGATCCTGGATCCAGATAATTTTATTCAGTTTTAATAAAACGTTACAAAATGTTATGTGTGTGTATTAAGATCTATATATTAAAATACAACTCAATAAAACGTGTGAAATATTACTTTGCATAAAGTACGAGATCCACCAGGTGCAGCAACTGGCTGCGGCCGCTGCAGCCGCCGCCGCCGCGCATCATCAGCACGGCGTGGCCGGCGTGGCGGGCGTGGCCGGCGTGCCGGGCGTGGCTGGCGTGCCAGGTGTGGGAGACGTGAGCGGCGTGGCGGAATGGCGTGCACCTCTCATTGTGGAACCCGCGCCAATGCCTGAACCTGATGTATGGGATGCCTTCCACCCACATCATCCCCAACATCATCACCCGCATAAGAGGTTAGTTTCTATTATAATTTTATATACTACAACGATTATACTCTAGGCCTTATATACGGGGAAGTCCGTCGTACATTTCTCATACATTATGTTTGTGTTCGATCAAAGATGCAGTCCGTTCCTGCAATGTATGATGAAAGTTTGACGCGCCATGTTATCGTTAACTAGGCTTTAGTGCGGGAAAATTAATGTAATATAATAAGTTACTATGAAGAAACGGAATGTACAGTCGGACAAAAAAAACGGATGATTAGTATGATAGCTATTAAAACTCGATTCGAACATTTCTTTACGAAACATGATCGGCGTAAAAACTAAATCGATAAAATTAAAATCAAAAAAATTAACAGCATTTTAGGAGTTCATTGAAAAGCATTCCGAAGTAAAACAGACTCTGTAACGAAAATTAAGTCGAATTAAAAAGAGATTATGGCAAGTACTAAAAGCTAGGGTTGTCAACAGATCAACAAAGCAGCAGACGACGGTGCCGCACTACCAACCGCACCACCAAACGCATCAATACAGGTGCTTACCCTAGAATACATTCATACAATAACAATATTCACTATTTACAATGTCTTACGTCCGTAGATACCCTACTACAGTTATTTATTACTACCCTATTTATTAGATACCCTACTATAGTTATTTATTATATATTATTTATTATATATGTAGTATGTCTATCCACCCATCTCACCCAAAATTTTAACCATAAAATTATACGTTTTCAGTATTGAATATTTCCTTTGTAATGTTTTTCACTGTTGCTTATTTTTATGTTTGTTCTGTCTTAACTTTATGTTTGGGTCCTCAGTTTAACTTGTCTGTAGTTGCGTAGATTGTAGCGTAATCTAATATTAAGAAAGCATATAAACGTATGCTTTCGATGTTGGATTATTTTGGAGACAACGAGTGAGACTTGAGATAGTTCGATCATTGCGCAAATTCGTATTTAATTTCAAGGAGACGAATCATTTGGTCTATCCTTTTTGGTGGTTAAATAAAGGTAAACCATCTTGGTATGTTTTTTCTATATTAAAGAGGTCGTATAAAATACAGACAAAGATTATTTAAATTTCATTCAAACATGTTTACAAACAACTTTAGACAACTTTTAGATAAGCCAAGATTGTTATATTTTTTAGTAAATTACCTAAACCAATAGACTTATTTCAAAAACACGGTTTATAGGAATTATTGTTTTAACAACATTCAATAATCAATAATTCTATGCGTTAATTGAGCAAAGGGAGTATGTTGCACTGTAATTATTTTATTAAAATTAATAAATACTGACGGCGTATGTCCTGGAACAGACCGGCGAGATCAATAGATCAATCAAATATTTTTTTTATTTGCACATTTCACTTTCATTGCCATTTTGTTTGTGCTTATTGTTTTATAATCAAAACAGTAGTGTGCTACTAAACTTTTTTGAATGTATAAGTGGTCTAATGAGCAAATGATTTGCGCAGTATGGCAAGCAGCGGCGGTAAGAAGGAACCGACACAACTATCGCCGGTGAAGAAACGGGTGAAGGAAGGCACGCCGCCTTCGAGGCACAGGCATCAGCATCACGACCACACGTATGTATTCAAACCAGTCTTAATTATATCACATTTAAATAAGACTTGTAATTGCGAAGCCAATCTTTTCTGATTTAACAATTTTTTCATTACATTTTCCTCTTTATTTATCGGATATTTATATCTAAGCTAGTAAATCTTCTCATGTTGCTGGTCTCCACCGGTGGCGGTGATCAGTTATCGTCAGGATATTTGTCCGCTCTTATTGGCTAAGAAGCAGCTAAGTCTGTTAAATATAGCTATTAACAAATTATAAATTATTTAGGATCTTGGCATGTAAAGAGATCCCGAGCATAGCTTTCTCCTACCTAGCCAAAAACTAGGTCCGACATCTGTATATATAATGGATGCAAATGGCGATAATTCGTTGGATGTAGAGAACTAAAGGAGACTAGGTTCAGCAGTGTACTTTTTATGGTTGAATATGAATTTGTTTGTGCTAACCTTTACGTTTCGGGTTTGTAGTGGAGGTCGCAGCGGTGCGTGGGAGAGCTCGGGCGGCGCGGCGGCGCACACGATCACGATCCGCGACACGCCGTCCCCCGCCGTGTCCGTCATCACCATCTCCGACTCCGACGACGACGCCGACGCCCCGCGCCGCGCCCGACACGCCGCGCAGCCGCAGAACACTACCGGTGCGTATACTACACTCTGTTACCCCATTCCCCCTTACTTGTAAAGTGTAGAAGAGCCATGAAGAACCATGCTTCGGCACCAAACGCTCTCAAAGCAATCCGGTGTGATATAACCACAGCGTTGTGTTTCGCCTTGTGATTGAGGTTACCAAATGAAGCCCAATGCTTCCTCTGTGCAAACCCTCCCCAAGTCCATAATCTCCAAGGCTTCTAGAAGAGAAGTCCCGTATAGAAAATTTAGTAAGAAAAGCTAATATATGAATGATAATACAGGCGGCAGCGCGGATTGCGGCGGAACGACGCGCAGCGGGGCGGCGCCCGGCGTCATCTGCAGCGCGCGGTCCCCGCCCGGGGACAGGGTCAAACACGAACCTCACCACTACTGTCAACACCACCAGGTACTTGCATTATTTACTGTATGTCGATAGGATATTGAAATTTTGAATATTCTATTTATGTCTTGATCTCTTTCTTCGATTTTCTAACTCTAGAAAATCATGTTATCTCGCATTCAATTGAATATGCCTCATATTTAACAAATTTCTTACACCTTCGTTATACTTGTTAGTTTGCATCATATTAAGTCAGCTGAAAGAAAATCAGTAATATAACGTAACCTTGTTTACTCCCAGCAACCCCAGCCGCAACAGTCGTCGAGCGGGTCGCAGACGGCCCCTGCGCCCCCGGCCGCGCAGTCGGCAGCGCAGGCAGCCCCGGCGGCGCAATGTTCGAGTTCCCGCACTGCGGCGGCGGCGACGGCGGCGGCCACCCCGCAGAGTCAGAAGAAGCGGCTGCTGGCGCTGGCCCAGCAGGAGGCGCAGGCCAAGAGGGACCACGAACACGCGCACTCACATCTACCTCCCGTATGTACTGCTGCACTACATTCATACTAACATCCCGTTTCCTCAACCTTCACTCCTAACAGTAACCCTGCTAGAGACAGAAAATAACGACTCCAAATGCAATTGATCAAATTTTTATTATTGTGTCAACAATATGACGAGAAACTTAACTAACACATGAATTTTTCGTAATTTCAAGCTGGTATCTGTTCAACTAGACTATTTTCATGTGACAAGAGTTGTGTTGATATTACAGAGCGGATCGACAGTACGTCAAACGAACGACTATCAATGCAACCAGTACGTGCCGGCGCAGCACAATAAGAGGGATAGTGTGAGTATTCTTATGTTCATAACAATTACTTATTATCTACAGAGGTGTAATATTCTCTATTATAAAATAAACAAAAGTTGTAGATTATTAAAATTGCGCTAAGTATTCGTTTCAGAATCACACATGTTGCTCATTTTTTTAAAACGATATTAAATCTTCCTGTCTCGAATAATATTAACCTAACAATCACATTTTTTTTATTACAGAGCGGCGGATGTCGCGAGTACCTGACGAATGGAGCTGGAGTTAGCGGAGTGAACGCCGTCAGTGGCGTAAGTGGTGTAAGCGGCGTGAGTGGCGTGAGCGGCGTGAGTGTGAGCGTGAGCGGGCCTCCCGCCGCGCACAAACACGCCGCGCCTCACGCCTGGCACCATCATCCGCACCCACACTACAAGTTAGTAACACTACCATTGAGAAATATACCCTTTCCCTAGGATGAAATTATTAAAGGTTTTAAAACAGTTTTGCTGTGATACTTCAAAAATTATCGTCAAAAATCCAATTCCAAAGATTTTGCATTCAAACGGTTAGACTAAGGTCTCATACATAAGAGGCACAGTATCTCCCTAACTAGCTCTAAAAGATGATGGTATTTTTTAAAACAGTCGCGGTAACAGTTGGATTGTGTTGTTTCTATGTAAATGGCTTAAGTCAGTCTACCCAAGCAAAGAGCCGCAGGCCGTTCCTGTTAAACGTTACTACTTAATACTTTACTAACGTTAATACTTTTTCCATCAAATTTTATACCTATCTATTATTGAAAAGGTTGTAACGACTTATTAAATCTATTTCAGGGGTTTACAGTCTAATGTTTTGTTCAAATTATATATGCTGTAACATTGTCAAAACGAAATTATTAACAAAATGAAATTGTGGTATTCCAGAACTGGTAGTGGCGGAGTATTGTCCCCGGGAGGCGGAGTGTCCCCCGGGTACCTCCCGCCACCACTCTACGTACCTACATACCACTATCACACGTGAGTATATATAACTTATATTTTTATTGTCTATCACTGAGATTTCATAAGAGATTTGTTTGTAATATATATACTTGACTAGAGACCTATTCGAGAATTGACATTTGTGCGTTGAATATTTTGAACAAAGATATGGGATGAATTTAAACTTATGAACGACCTTATCTCTAGATCATTCGAGAGATCAAATTAAAATAGTACAAAAGGAACGCTTTTGTTCTTTTTGACCTTATTCAGCTAGATTATGAAGCCAATTTATTTATTTCAAATAGCCAACAATAGGCACTTTTGAACGTCAAGCAAAAAATTAAAGACAAATTGTTCAACTCGTGTGTCTATACGTCAAACATTCTAAGATTTTTTGAAGGCTTGCGTTGCACAGAATGATGTCCAAAACATTTTACTTATCTAATCGTATCTCTTCTGCAGTGGCGGAGTGAGTGGTGTGAGCGGAGTGGGCGGTGTGGGCGGTCCCCCCCCGGCGCACCACGGCAGCGGCGGTCGGCTGCCCGGGTACCTGCAGCCCTACTCCCCCACCTACCTCGTGCCCCCCCACCACCAGCAACACCTCTGGTACACCGACTGACACAACTAGACCACACGCTACGACCACTTCCTGCTGAAACTTCTCAATCTTATTTCTTAATCAATTAAATGTCTTTTGTATTCTTTGTAAGCGATGTACATCGGTAATCGCGAATATTCGAATTATACTTAATCCAGTATATAAATGTTTAATCGTATTTGTTTAGTTGTGTAATTTATTACACGGTAGCGACGTGTAAGCGCTTATAGATGAATGTATAATAGGTTAGTGGATTATAATTGTATCATTTGATGTCGGTGTCCATACTGTAACGTATGAACACGTTTAATTCACATGTATTATATGGATTGTAAATTTCGCGTTATATTTTGCTGATAAAGCGAGTAGGTTGCATTTACTAATATTTTATCATAGTTTAGTGTTTGTACCAAATCATTTTAATGGGGAAATTATTGATGTATCGAGTATGGTAACGAATGTGTTTGTGTGGCGACGTCGCGTCCCTGACGCGCGACGTACGCGACACGTTTTAGTTTTACGACACGCTGAGTTTGTCAATTATAAAGTTTTATTTGTGTTGTATGTAGTGAGGAAACGCTTTAGATATACGTGTATTGAGATTTGAGGATACGAGTGTTACGTTCCAAGTGACACGAACATTTATTGCTGTGTCTATCTTATATTCAAAATTAAAGGGTTTTATATTACGTAGGTATAACTAAATGTGTAGGGCGCGGTGATGGACAACTTGTATAGATGTAGATTCGAGTATATTAAACGAAATAAAAAAATCTATCTAAGATATTTTATAAACATTTAGTACACACTAATGATTAACTAAGATTGTAATAATGCATGTATAATCCACATTAGATAGAATGAAATTGTTTAAAAAATATTAATAATGTCCTTTATAGAAGATGAAAAAAAAATTATATGTTATGCAATTATTTTTACGACTGCAAATGATTTTAGTTTTAATATTTTGATAAGTGTTTAATGACACTAGAGAGCTATTATATTTTGCTGACTTGATACGCGTCGGTTTACGACTGGGTATTTCAGTTTCGCAGTGTTTTAACATAATGTAACCTGTTTGTGGGTGTGACAGGCCCGGTATGTCGCCGCGGGCCGCGCCGCGTTGTACATAAGTATTACATAAATAAGTCATATCGTACAAGTTCCCTAGCAGTTACACTTCCCGACGCACGCAGCGCGGCCCCGCCTAGTCTACGCTACGGACGCACGACGCTTGCAAACTATATTCCTTAATATATCACTATTATTATATATTATAAGATGCAACACGTTTTACTATATAGCAGTAAATATTATCACAACAATCTTTATTAGATATTGAACGCTTCTTTCGACAAAGTTATCGAATTCTATTTAGAAGTATTACGATGTTATTACTAATTGTAACTTTGATGTAGCGTGTTTTTATAGAGCTTTTGGTGTCATGCAACCGCCAATGTCGACGGATAATGTGCTTATGTGTCTGTTTATCCTATAAATTAATACGATATCGTCCCATTCGGGACATTTTTTACAAATTGTAGATTTATCATTAAACAAGTAAATCGTCGTCTGCCTCCCGTAGCGTATACTAAGTATGTTTTCGATTTTATTATTACTATTTGGTTTATCATTTTATTTTTAGTATTAAGTGTTTAATTTATAAATATCCACCATTTAATCGCAAGATAATATAAACCACTGCATTATTTTAAATTCATATTAAACATGTTTTATATGACAAGACTACTATGTAATATTATTAGTTAAACATAAAGTTAGTACATTAGTTTGCTGCCCGACAATAATGATTATGTTTAGTTTCGTATTTGTAATGGTTGTAGTTATAACTATGTTACTTTATTTTGTTTTATCGTCAACTGGATAGTTGATATCGGGCACCGTAGTGAATACGTCAATATAATTATATTGCAATACTATTTAATTGTTGAAACTCCTAACGATATTGCTTCTTCCAATCTTTACTTGCTGTGTTCTTCTTAGTGTTTCGCCGAATTCTCAAACGTATTCCGTAAGTGACACACCACGAATGTCACTTGTTCGTGTACTCGGGCCCGGGTACAGGATTGCCGTTTGAGAATCCGGGGGTAATTTTATCACAGAATGTTTTCACAATAGACGAGGAAATGTGTCTTTTTCATGTCCTTTGTAACGGACATTCTGCCAGACTTGTTCAGTACGACGCCCGACAGTACGCCGACCTGCGACTGCCCGCTCCTTGGAAGCAACGAGGCGACTATTTGTTCTGTCTGTATTTTGATAAATCACTGAAAATATAATCAATTTTTTCTGCTTCTATGTGCAATAATATTGAGATTTTATTATGATGAATAAATTAATCAAATGCTATAATAGTCAATGATTTGTAATTAAATGAATGTAAATTATTTTCAATTGTATGTGGGAATCAGTTTATTTGTATACAATTGAGTGTTGAGAACAGTGGTGTTTGCGGAGGGCGCGGCAAGGGCCGGCCAGTCGCCGCGGTCGGCGGTAGGAAGCGAGATTGCCCCCTCTGGCGAGGCTTTAGTCAATGATCTCTGTTGAAACGTGCACATATTATAACTATTACCCCTACGTATCGCAATGTGGCACGGCGTTAGTTCGTCTCAATCTTTTGTTTTAGTGATTTTATTATTTCTAAGCTTTTATTGGAGTTTTGGGGTTTATTTTTAAGCGTATTAACATAATGGAATGTTAACACATTTTCTATAATAATTTTGTCCTAGTTCATATTATATACGTTATACGTCTGCTTACGGTATCGTTTGAAATTGCCTTATTATGTTTAGTGTGTATATGGGGCATGTTGTCGCGGCGCAATCGACCCATACTATCGCATACAGGTTGGCGGCCTGGCCGGCGACGCGTACGTCGCGGGCGATGCGGCCAACTCACGAAATGTCTGAATGACGGCTGTACGTCGACGTGATTCTGTGATTATTACTCATTATAATATTAGTTCGAAAACTGTAAATGTGGGTTGTTGCAATAAGAAAATTCTTTTTGTGTGTATAAAATTGCATTTTGCGAAGCAGCTGTATGAAATGCCCCGTGTATATGTATATTAGTTTTGTAGTGTATGGTTTCACCAAAACACGATACCGATTATATTTATAAAGGAAATAACACGAAAAAGGTCGCGATTAGCAAATTCGAGTGTCGACAATAATTTATTGTTCTAATGGTAACAATTAATGTACAAAATACTCCGTATAAGTTGGTAATAGCCCGCACTAGCTGAGTCGATATGTTGTAAGTTGTCAGATTGTGTTCCACTGTGATGCAGTGTAGCGGTGAAACTGTAATGTAGGCTTACGTTTGGTTTAATTCGCGTTACTTGTAACTACGTACCGACAGGTACTAGCCGAGAACTAACTTTACAATAATGGGTATTTTATGTTTTAATTTAGCTTATAGGGGCTTGTGTAAACAAGTTGAAACTATTAACATGTTTTAAAATTCGATATGTGGGTGATCAGGGGATATAGCACAGATGTTGCTTAAGTTTCTCTTCAATAATAATCGAATAGTTTATTATTAGATGAAAAATTTGTAAATAAACATCCAAATATCCCTTTTTATTTTATTTTTATTTTTTTCCTTCACCTTATTTTCCTTTATTTTGAGTTTTTATTATTTTGGCGTATACGGGCCTGTCTTCGTGCATCGCAACTAGTATACTCGTGCGCCGGCGCCGCCTCAAGCGCACCGCAGCGTTTATAAAATAATTGTAATCGTAATAAATATATTAGTGGTATCGAGCATCGCTATACATAGTTGTGTGTAGTAGATGCGCGTGCGCACGTGAGGCGACGGTGGCGCGCTCTATAGTCAATAGCGTGGCGAAAGACGCCTGAGCTGCTGTCTCGACAATAACCCAGTGTCAGACAATAATCATTCTTATAATTTGCCAATTAGTAGACAGTTTTGTTTGGCCCCTTATTAGTGACCATAGTATCTACGTGTGTACGATGTCTAGACCTTTAGATAGTAGCGTGTGGCGAGTAGTGGAGTCCCACGGCAGGTAGCGACCGTACTTACAGTACAGAGTCCCATAGCATATCTTATATAAATAGTTAAGTGTATTGATGTGCGCAGTAGACACGTCTACTGTGACCGGCGACGGGCGAGTCACCTGGCGATACTTGTAGCGAACTATCGCAGGGTTTTATCGTGACGTACTTTACATAGAATACTCTTTTTATATGAAGTGATCTTATCACCCATTTTCTACAGCTAGCACCTATTTATAAATTATTAAACAAAGATAAAAATATCTTCGATAAATGTATTCCTTATTATAATAATATTGAACTATATATTATATACTTACATATAACATATTCCTCTTAGGAACGATTGAACTCAGTATCGAATGGATGTTTGCGTTATTTTTTTAAATATTCTTAACACGATTCTAGTGTGTATAATTACAAAATTTCTTATTCATAAATAATAAAAAAGTAATTTCAATTTATTCGTTAAATAAATGTTTTACACATAATGTAATGTATAATAGATTTCTCCAAATGGACTGACTGTTAACCGTTTAGATTATATTGTATCGTTATCGTGCTTAGTCTGCAATTTGTATCGTCGGTAGTAGTGCACAATGCTACGTTGAGTGGAGTATCAGTGTTTCGGTGTGGAGTATAGTGCAGCATCCATACACAGAGCGCGCTGTCAGCGCCGTGTAGCTAGCAGGGCCGCAGTGGGAACAACTCGCTATTTGTACTTGGCATTACGTAAGATTATATAAACTCTAATTTAACAAGTCTGACGTCACAAGTTTGTTGTTACTAGATATAGTCAACGCTGCTGGTTAGGCTCTACTCTATAGAATTAACTTTTGTATATTCATTCTATATCTACCTAATAGGTAAACTATATGTGTGATAATAACAATAAGCTTTCAACTAGATGGAGTACAATGAATTCTAATGACTAACTCATAGGCCAATGTTTATAAACATTATTTTTACACTGTCTATTAAAATGAATGTGATTTTGTCAGTAGCGTGTAATGTTTTAGATGTTGCAGTCCAGCGTCCTGTGCGCCTAGTCACGAGTCACGAATCCTCCAGTTGCCGAGTAAAGTTTTTACTGAATGCTTAGGTGTGTCGTGTTAAGTCAATTGTACAAGATACTACTGCGATCAGCTTCAGGAACAGTAGTTGGTGTTGTAGTGCACCGCATACCAAATGTTTTGCCGTCCAATGATTACAGTACCTTCGCGAGTACATGCCGACAGCTGGACTGTTCTTCGATGTATTTCGTTAACTATAATCGCATATTTCGACACCAAACCGACTAATTATTATTATAGATGTCTAAATATTTTATATTTATCTAGAGCTTATAGAGTGTTTAGGGCTGTAGTAGTGAAGGAAGGCAGCGGGCGGCGCGGCGCGGGCTGACCGAGGCGCACCGCCCGCTGCCACGAGAATATCAGGGATGTGTAGTCCGTAGCGACAGCTTTTTAACTTAGAAAAACTTTATCAAAGATTTATACAAGCTATGGATGTAGTGTCTGCGTAGGCTAGTGTATGTCTGCATTGTATCTGTGATCGACTCGATGACAACGAAGGCTGACCAAAATGTGTTTTACAGGAGCAAACAATTTTTAAATGTAGCATTCGTACCTCAGCTAAATGTACCTGAACTTAACACAATTCAATGTTTGTACTTTGTAGCTTAGTTAATTTTTATTGTACAGTCGGCGAGGGGCCGACAATGGCCGACAGGGGCGCGCGCGCGGAACATTCACGATAATTGACTGAGAGCAAACTAATAACGCATGTAAAGCATCCGTTTCTAGCAGTAGCCTATTGTTGTTAGATTAATTTTGTTGTGTATTCAAGATCTTTATTGATGTGCTGTAGCGTTCACGTAAATTGTAGCCATTAGTGTAATTAGCAAGGCGGTACACAATCTCATGGCGGTGTCCGTTGTCGTCGAGCTCACACTTCGGTAACTTAGATGAGCGCCATTTTCTAGATTTAATATTATTGTTTCGATGTCCAAATTTATTCGAAATTAACTGTCTTCTTATACTACATTTCATTATAATTAAATGTTTAATGTATGTCCAGCGAATACATATTTCAGGTCTGTGCCTTCGGCTTGACCTTTCGGAGATAACTACCCCTACATTAGAGTACACACATGGCTACTACTTACCTTCTTTATCCTTTGTGTGAGTGCAACCTGCTTAGCGAGCATCTCCTTGCGTCGTCGCGCATGCGCGAGACGCGGCGGCGGCAGGCGCGCGAGGCGTGAGCGCGCTCTTGTTAGTACGCTATCACCACGTTAGCGTGCGCACATGCTGCTATTTTATGCAATAAGATACGTGAAACGAGTAACGTTGTTGTAACGTTTTTAAAGTGTTAAGTGACTTGCCAGTGGATTACAAGCCAACGTAACGAATTGGTAAGTTCTTGATATTGGTTTTATTCTTTTTGTGAGTGCTTTATTTGTTAAAGGAATCTGCTGAGTGTAAACATAATTTTTGTTGCTGTGCATGGCTAAGCTGGATATTTGTACGCATGCATGTCGGTTCGCTATCGCAACCAATGCTGACTAGCTCTGTCGGACATTCCATCCACAGGGTGCGTGAGATATCTGTTCTATACGACACGTCAGCTGCACGGCTACTGTCATAAATGTCAGATACTCGCTCGCGCGGCGCGGCTCAAATATTGAGCAGCGCGGCTCAAATATTGCGCGGCGCGGCTCAAATATTGAGCGGCGCGGCTCAAAATATTGCTCGGCGCGGCTCAAATATTGAGCGGCGCGGCTCGAGTTTCCAGCCGCGCGGCGTGAACATTGTATGGCGTGGCTTGACGGCCGACCTATGCAACTAACCTATACATAGGTTATCCAACGAACCGCCTGCGCCTACGGTTACAGTCGATTATGGGTTTGTCAGTAACGCTGACTGACTTGACAGCTTAGTAACGATCTCGTTGCTTGCTTCAGATGGCGCAGGGAAGAGGCTATACGACGCTTGGGGAGTTGCTTGTCGAGAATGCGGAAACCCAACAAGATGGGGCGATACTGGAGCGTATCAAGATCTTGGCGCAGGAGTCTCTACCCAAGGGTTGGACACAATGGGAAGTCATTAACGCCTCAAAGGAGGAGATTTTCGGGGAAAAACCTGAACCTAACGTTTTGAATAAACTAGTGTTCGCGCTCCCTACGGTAGGTTTAGTGCGAGCCTTTGATCCAGAGGCAGATCATCTCTCAGAAAAGGGATATCGTGATATAAGGTTGAAATTGCTAGATTGGGCATTTACCCGCGCCCTCATTCTGGGGCCGCCCTCAATAGCAAACCGAATTAGGGGATCAGCGGCCCGCACCGAGCTTTTCAAGCAATCGGTGGATGGATTACGGCCTCTGCTGCACACCCGGTATGAGGCTAACAAAATCCTATCGGGCAGCCTCTCAGAGTCCGAAAAATCTAACCGTAAGAGGAGAAGTTGTTCATCCGTCTTCGATCGCAGCCAATCACAAAAGCGAAGACGAATCTCACCCGTGGCATCAACATCACAAGACAGTAGGATCGAGTGCTTAGAAAAGAAAATGGACAGCATGTTTGCTCTCCTCTTAGAAAGAATTGACACTCATCACCAGCAGCAAACAAATCTGGCTCAGACAAGGGAGCCAGACTCAGATAAGGAAAATTACTCAGACTCGGAAGAATACTCAGGTACTGATTCATCGGCTGGTTGCTCTTGGAATGGCCCGAAGATGGATATTTTTTCAAGGGGCCCAGAAATGTCACCACCTACTGAAATAGAATTCCGTCCCAGGTTAAAAGAGATGGACCCTCTCATACCAGAACCTTCCGAACCGATAAAGAAAGAGGGCATCGAATGTCAAAGACTGGGTTCGGAAGGCTGGAACCGGATCCGATACAAGGAGGTGGAAAAACGCTTACAGGCTGCCTCTGTTTTTAGTGCCTTAAAGGTTAATATAGAGCTTGGAAGTCTTAAAAATCAACCATTTCCTTTCCTAGCTAAACAGGAAGGTATGCTCGGCACTATTAGTCATGGTTTGCTCTTGCAGAGGAAGGCTCTGGCTGACGGACTCAATAATATTATAAAAAAATGTCCAGATGCGGGTGACGAATTGCGTAAGCTTTTGGCTGATGACTCCCAATTTAAGGTCTTGTCAGATGATTTGCTGCAGTTCGTTTGTGCTCATCGTGCAGAAGCTATAGAGGCAAGACGAAGAGCTTATATGCCGAAGAACGTACCACTAGGTGCTGCTTTACACAGTATCCCACCGTCTTCTACCCATCTTTTTGATGAAAAACGATTGGGAACATTTCTGAGAGACAACGGTGGACTAGCACAGATATTTCCAGTTTTAAGTAACAGGTTTTCGGAGAGGAAAGGAAACAAAGAGACATTTCGTAAACCAACAGCGTCTCACCCAGCGAGAGGTAGACAGCAATCTGGGCGCACACGTCTTTCAGCATCATCACACAATGCATCAGCCCAGCCAACAGCCTATCGTATGTCTGGAGGTTCTAAACCGTCCAATAAGCAACGAAACCGACCCAAAAGGGATCAAAAGTTACCTAAGCGTAGGTATTGACAATTTTCGCGGGGGGCAACTAATGGATTTTCTTTGGCAG